TAAATTAATTAGTAATAATAATTAATTAATTAATTATATTATAGTTAAGAAATATTAAAAAATCTTATAGATATAAGAAAAAGTTTATAGCTAACTAATATTTATAGCTAACTAATAAACTATATTACTATAGTTAAGAAATATTAGTTATTAATATAGATATAGAAAAAACTTTATTACTAACTAATATTTATTACTAAGTAGTAAACTATATTATAATAACTTTATTTAATTTTTTAGCTTATATAAAGAGAAGTATAATAATTTATTATATTAATATTAATATAGTTAATAAGTAAGCTATTTAAATAAGTAAGCTACCTACTTTAATAAATTCTTTATATACTATATACTAAAGTCTAGTAAGAAATTATTAAGGTATATTAATTTTTTCTTATTAGATTTTAATACATAGTATACTATACTAAAACTTTATTAAAGTAGGTAGCTAATTTATCTATTTAGCTTACTTATTAACTATATTATACTACTTTAGCTATTTCTTAAGCTTTATTATATAAGTAACTATCTAATAAAAGCTTATACGTTCTATAAGGTTACTTTACCTATATACGTTATTATATATCTACTAGATCATATAGTACTTACGCTAAGTTTAGGGGCGCTCCTAGCAGCAGTCCCTTATCTTATTACTCGCCGTTATCTCCTGATTATATAATCTATTATGTGGTCTGTGCTCTAGCTTTTTCATATTGTGGCTGGAGCCCACTCCATATCAGCTCCCTCCCCCACACCTTTTCTTCTTCTTCCCAACTATTTATCCACCACAAATCTCCTTCACCCTCATCCTCACTTGTTGTTCATGTCACCTATTGTCCACGCGTCCGATAACCAGCAACATTGATCAACAAAGAAGCAGTTGTAAGCGCATTCACCTATTCACACAAATAAGGCTGAATTGCTGATGAAGCAGTGATTCCAGTTACCCGCTCACGACACGCGCTCACATTTTCCACTGTGTAATCTCTGGGCCCCATTCTCGAGCGTGCGCCCGCCCGACCCAACCATGGCGTCTGACAAGATTTATGGCGAAGGTGACGCCTTCCACAACGCTCTTGCCTTTGCACGCCATCTTATTCTCAACCAAAACATATCAATAGAGGGAGAAAACTCTTCTTTCTACCTGTCACCACCTTCCTTTGACGCTCTCACCCTCCGCCTGCAGAGCGAGCCGTCGCCTAACCTCGACCTCGACCTCGACCTCGACCACGACGAACTCGGACTCGGACTTGACTTTGATACCCGCGTCACCGGCATCACCTCCCACCTCGGTTCTGACTCTGGTTTCTCTTCCGATTGCGATCGAGGCACCGACCACTCCCCCAGCAGCATCTTTGACAAGCTGCGAATCGAATATGACCCCGACGATGGTCTCCTGACCTTCAAGATGCCCGAAACGCGCATCCATACCGAATTCGCTGCCGAAGTCTCCCACAATATCGCCACTATGACCGGTCCTTTCCTCAAAGGCTTCAAAGCCCGGGGCAACACTGTGATTGAGTTGCGACATGACGCCCACCCGGGAAAAACATACTTCAAGTATCCCGACGTTTCCTGGGGACGTGCCCGCATTGAGCCGAATCCTGCCATTGTTGCTGAAGTCGCCTACACCAACCCTCGCGACCTCGAAACGCTGGAAAACAGCTGCCAGCGGTATCTGAAGGGCACAAGCGGTCCCCGCCAAGTCCGAACTGTTCTTGCCTTCAAGATCTACTACAATTCCAAGGCGCCCTCCGATTTCGAAGCCATCCTGGATCATCTCGATGAGTGCTATGCGGGCGTCTAGGTGACGCGCCATGATGGCACCACCGTTGAGTTGATGGGCTGGACAGCGCTGAGCACCGATGCAAGCCTATCCTTGTACGTCTCGGACATGGTCACAAACGCGTCAAATGTCCTTCCAGGACAGGTCCGCCAGAGGTAGAGAGCCCCCATCTCACATCGACCAACTCAGCTGGCTTGACCAGAGCTCACCCGCGTCCACTAATCTTCCCCATGTGGCTGTGCTAACGTATCCTTCCCAGGTTCGATCACGACGTTCCCTACGACGAGTTCGCGAATATCCATATCCCATTCAGCGCACTTCGAGAGATGCTCGAGGACGCCGTCGCCAGCGCCGTGCAGAACCGCGATGCCCCGTACACAGAGGGCGCGACAGACGAGCAGGTGCTGGCGTAGAGCATCCCCGACCACGTCACGAACCAAGCAGGGTATCACATTCGACGAGAGAAAGCTCGTCCAGTTGGAACGAGCTGCTATGGGCGGACGGGGCGGGGCGGGACAGGACGGATCTGGGGACTCAGTGGCGATCGGGGGAATGGACTAGAACGCACACAATGTGCTACTGCGGTCTCGGATTAGATTCAGGACACCGGCTGGTAATGGAAGAGGGTTGGGTGTTGATGTAACCTTCTCAGCGCCTAGCGTACCTCGACGGACAGCTTCCCCCGAGGTCTTTAGGAACGAACAGGCGTTCCCCGCCGATTCGAGAAACCCATCGGGTTTCCGACGTTGTCAATAAATAGAACACCAATCACGGCTAGAGACATTCAATCAAAAGCTTACGCAATCACGTGACGCTGCCGTGGAATGGGAAAAGGGACACTGACACGGCTGGCCGGATCTGCGCGCCTGCCATCGTCCATCTTTTTGCTTTCAGGTCAGCTTCACCTCAGACCGCCTTTGCTTTCTTTTTGTCACACGCCAATATGCAGTGTTTCTTTGTTTTGCCATATACTAAGTAAATCTACGCTATACTTTTACTAAATAACTCATACTCAAAGAAGTATAAGACACATTAACACGCTGTGAGATTTAGCTGAGGTGTAACGACGCGCGCGGAGTAAGCAGCCTCACATGATGCATAAGCCCCTATTAGGCGATTACTCATGCAATAAAGCTTAATGACAGCTTGTGTAGTGTGGTAATTATATAGTGGAGTATTGCACCCCCCTTATATAGGCTAGAAGAATGGACAAGCAAGCCTATCGCATTATTGAGCTGCGTACGTAAGATCAATACGTGGACCCCGTTGTTATATGAGAGGGGCGGCCGCACAGCTATAGAGGTGTGTGGCCAGCGCGGTGTAGCGCGGCAGAATGGTGAGGCTAGCTCCGGCAAAGCCGGAGATCTTCTCCAGGCTCCAGCTTGTAACATTACTCCCCTCCTCCCGCCCGCTTATACGGTGTAAAGGCAGGTTCTCTATTATGTTCCATAACTAGGCTATAGTAGCTATTAAAGGTCTCTAGAGCAGTAATATTACTAAAAGCCTCTATTAGCTCTTATAATCTCTTAGTATAGCTCTTTTATTTTATTAAGACTTCCTATTACTATCCTTAGCTATAATACTTCTAAACTATAGTATTAATACTCTTAATCTCTTAAGTCTCCTTACTATTATTATTTATAATAGGAGGTAACTAATTATTATTTATAACTTACTCTAATAGTAAGTTAGTATTTACATACTTTAGAATATTAATATAAAAGTATAAATATATAGCTATAAAAATATTAAGCTCTATTTTATAGAATAAAACTATCTTTATTACTATATACTTATAGTATAGCTAGTTAAGCTTCTTATAAGGCTAAGAAGACTTATAGTGCTCTATATATAGCTAAACCTTATTACCTATTTTTAGTCTCATAAAAGGTATATACTTTACGTTACTAGCGTCTTTATAGCGCTACTACGCTACTATAAGTATAATTTAGGCTATATCTATAGTATCTTTTAGCTACTAGAGTAGCTTTTTAGTAGTCTCTTCTTATAGGCCCTCTAGTATTCCTAAGTCTATTAGGGCTATTAAGAGTAGCTTAGAGTTATATTTATACTTAAAAAAGAAGTTACTTATTCTAATAGCGCTATTATTATAGCTATAGAGCGCTAGCTAAGCTATAGAGAGGTTATATACTTAATTCTCCTATAAGTATAAGATATAGTTATATAGATATATCTAGATCTCTTAGTTTATACGCTTTAAGCTGCTATTAGTCTATAAGTAGTATATAGTATAAGAATAGGTATATATATAGCTAGAGGGGCTTAAAAAGCGTCTATATAGTATAATATAATAGACTATTATATATTATAATAGAATCTAATAAACTTAAGTATAAATAAGTATTATTTTTAATAGAATAATATATAAAGATTAATATAGAAGAATATTAAAGTATTATTATATTTCTTAAGTTTTAAATCTACTTTAAGGAAGTAAGAGAAAGAAGAAGTATTCTAAAACGTATTATTATATATATAACGTTATTAAGCTAGAGCTACTAAGTAGTATAGTATTATATTATTTTAACTTCTTATAAAAAAGATAAAGAATTATTTAATTCTTATCTTTATACCTCTAAGAGGTATAGAAAAATGAATAATATATTTAGATTCCTTATTTAATTTACTATCAAATAGTATATATATTTTCTTATAGTAAATAAAGTTTAAAGTTATAAACTTTATTTAACTAAAAGAATATATCTATAAAAGCTATACTTAGATTAGACTATATAAGTATATAGACCCGCTTAGACCTACTTTAGGTTCTACTAATAGCTTAATATAGTCTTTTAAAGTATTATAGCAGGCTAAACTAGTAAATTAGCCCTATACTTATTATTTATATAAAGGGTTAAAGACCCCTACCTTTAAGACCTTTTAGGAGGGTATATCGTTATATAAATAACGTTAATATATATATCTTTTAGATCCCTATTATTCGCTCTATTTATATATTATATAATAAACTATTAAAACTACTCTTATATACTATTCTTTAAATACTTCTATCCCTATATTTATCTCTATGCTTATAAGTAGTCTATACTTTATAACCTTTAGTTTATAAAGCTCTTTTTATAGAATATTTTTATATAAGAATTTATATATTTATCTCTATTATTTAATTTTATAAAGAATAAAATATAGATTAGTTTTATTATTTCTTCTTCCTATTCTTATATATAGTACTAAGTTATTTATATATTACTAGTTCTAGCTAAATATAGGCGGCTAGAGACTTTAGGATTAAATCTACTATAAGAGTAGTAGAGGCCCCTATTAGGTAGTAGGGAGTAATAGGCTTAGCACTTTAAGTAAGAACTTTTAAAGCGCTCCTCTATAGTTAGTTGCCCTAACCTACTTATAATATAATAACGACTCTACCCTATAGATCTAGGGGTATTAGGTTTAAATCCCACACGCTGCGTCGACAGTATAACGAAAAATCCTCCCATACTGTATAGAGCGTTCCCTAGCTATAGGTAGGCACGTATAGCACTATACTAATGCCTAGAGTTTTCCTATATTATACCCAACTATAGCCGCTTAGTCCTTAGCAAAGGGATATACCTCTTAGAGGGGAGAAATAGTATTACGTCTACTATAATTAGTTACTATAGGTGCGTACTTATATAGTATAAAATAAAAAGTAATAATAATAAAGTCGTTATTACTAAAGCTTTTACTTATAGTATAGTTAGTTACCCTAACCTACTTATAACACGTTATTACTCCCTATTCTATACTATATAGGTATATACCTATAGTAACTAATTATAGTAGGCGTAATATAAAATTAGCTTACTTAGTTATTACCCTTATTACTAATAATTAATAAGAGAATCCTATAGAAGTAAAAGTAGTAAATAAGAAATTATTTTATATAAGCTTTAGCTTTTATACTCTTTATTAGCTTAAGGATTGCTTTTTTATTAAGCCTATAAATATTAACCTAGAGGAACTATTTATTATTTACTATATATAGGAGGTTTATAATAGAGTTTATTATAAGGTTACTATATATATCTTAGGGTATTAATAGCGGTTTAAATAAGCTTTTCTTTTTTTCTTACTATATATAACTATATCTATAGCTATTATAGTTATAGTAGAAGTAATATATTATTATAACTACTTTAGCTAGTAGAAGCTTTAACTAATTAGTATAGAGTTATAAGTAACCTAAATAATATATATATATAACGTAGTTAATAAGTAAGTATTATAGACAAGTAAGTATCACAATAAATTATAGCTATAATATAAATCTAACCGTAAAGCAATACTAAAAATATATAATTAATTAAAACTACTTAGAAACCTCTTTATTAGACGTTTCTTTAATAAATTAATATATTTACGCATTATAACTAGTGTTCCTATAGACGCTATATTGCTATTAGCCCGTCTTAGTCCTTAGCTAATAACTACTACTCTAATATATTTCCTCCTTAATCTAAGTTATTACCTCTCTCTATAACTAGATATCCTCTACCTTAGCTATAGTAAGACTTCCTCCTTATCTAAGATATATTTTTTTAGCCCTCCTATATTAGCTAAATAGGTTATTCTCTTCTTAAAGGATCTAGACCTTAGACCTTAATAAGGCAATTTAGTATATAAATCTATACGCCCCTTTTAATAGATATTCTATAGCTTTAATAATTAAAGTTAATAAGCTATTTTAATAGTAGGAGATTTAATTCTTAATAAGTTTAAATTAAAAAGATACCTCTATTAAGTTATTTAGTATTTAAGAAGTCTATATAGGGGGTATTATTAGGAGGGACCCTAAAGGTATTAAAGTATATAGCTTTATATTAAGCTTTAAAAGTATACTTTCTATATTTAGAGGGATAAGCTTAGCCCCTCTAAAACCTCTCTAGATATTTTTAACTATAAGGGCTTATATAAAGGCGTTATAAAATATAGAGAAGAAGTCTTCTTTTATAATATATATATTACCTTAATATATTTTCTCCTTAATTTATTAACTATATACCTTCTTTAAGGGCCTAAAGCACCTAACGTCTAAGGGCTAAAGTAAATAAGAGGAATAAGTTAGTATATAAAGGGTAATAATATTATTTTCCTTATAATATATCTTATAGTTAGTAATATAATAACTTTTATAACTATTAATAATAAAGAGGTAATATTTACTAGTTATATATAGTTTTATATACTAATTAAAGTATTTGATTTAGTTTAAGCCTCTTTTATTTATTATCTATCTATTTTTAGATATTATAATAACCTAGTTATATAGGAGACCTATTTCTATATATTAAGTAGAGAGGTAATATTACTCTATAATAATAATATATAGTAGAACGCTATAGCCTAATAAACTAATAGCCTAAATAACTATAACCTATTTATAATTACT